ACTGACTGACTGACTGACTGACTGACTCAGTGACTAATAATAATTGATAAAATAATAAAATAATAATACTAATGATGACAATGACAATGATAATAATAATAATATAATAAAATTCAAAATTCATAAAAGATTTAGTATGATATTTTATAGAGACAAATAGCTTACAAACCGCTTTTCTTGAATCATCACTTTTAACTTCATTGAGCAAAGGAAGCTATTAACATTTCGTCTTTCGTGCTTTTTTTCCCTGTCTTTCTTTTTCTTTTTTCTTTTTTGCCTTCTTTCTCACCATGGATCTTTCATCAGTTTTCTCTCTCTCGAGTTCGTCCTCATATTCTTCCTTGCTTTCATTCTCTTTCGTTTATCTATATTTTTTGCGTGCTATTGGCATCCAACACAAACTCGATGCATTACTGAGAGCTCTACTCCTTGGCTGTACGTACACGATTTATAGCCAATGAGAAAAGCAAAAAAGCTCACACCTGTGTCTATCATTTCCCAGCTATACTCAGAATTACCTTTCTCGATCTTTGCTGCAACTTGTTTTTCCTTCTCCAAGCTTATCCCACACTCAAAGTGAAACAGAGAAAAATCTCACCCTAGATCTCTTTATATCTCCACAGAGATAAAACTGACGATAACATCAAAACAAGACGTTAATTAACAACACATTGATAACAATTTGAAAAGATTCAATTGATGTATGTATTGCTATAAATACATGTAGGCATTGAATTGAATTTATACAAGGCTTAATTGGCATCCAGTGATTTTACCTTCTACAGCACGTCTTTTTTCTCTTTGCGTGGAACTTTCTCCCTTATAGTTTTTCCCTCCTGCAGATTGTCATATATTGAATTTTTCTTTTGTCTATTTTCCATAGAAGCTTTGTTTATACCCCCTTCATAGACAGAACGAAGTCAAATCTAAAGAAGTCAATAAAAACAGTTAAATAAACTAGCAAACGAACGTTAAAAATAGGAAAACAGATGTAAAAATATGGATCAAGAAATAATAATTAAAAAAGAAAAAAGAAAAAAGAAAAGGAAAGAGTTACTAGGAACGTACCTTTGTTAATTCAACGTATTTGGAGAAGTTTCATTTGTTCCACAAAACATTATGATAATATGCCGGTAAGGTACAAATCTGTGCTAGAATAAATCCTCAAAGACATTGATATAAATCATTTTAAAATGGCATTTAAAACTACCCCCCCCCCCCCAAATAAAGAGAAAGAAAACGAAAAAAAAAAGTACTTTTTGCAAACATATTTTATTTATGTGGATTGCCTCGAGCTTTTTTGTTGTATCTATTAATACTTTACTCTTACTAATAGGGGTACTGTAGCTGCCATGTTGGTACCATTTAACAAAAGATTTCTCATTAGCATCCATTGTTAACGGTACCACAATGGCCGCCATGCTTTTGTCTTTTAACTCTCTTGGGAATGCTTACATCCCATCAATTGGGCTTGAAAAACAACATCTATTCAGCAAAGATCAATAAAAACGAAACAAAGAAAACTAAATTACTAAAGTATACAACTGACGTTTGTGACTTATGTTACTTTCTCATAGTTTTTTCATTCATACTTTGTAAAGTTAGTTTATTTTTTTATTATTACGTATTTATAAGCAGCTACTTTCGTGCAGGATCTGCAGGACTTGGAGATCAAAATCAATTCTCAACCCAAATGATTTTGGAAAAAAGTGTTTTCAATTATTAGAGCAAGGCCGTTTGAGTACAGATTTTATAACAAGATTACAGATACTCAATGAAATAGTGTTTTGATGTTGTAACTGTAGCTTAATTAAATATCAAGTTTAAACGTCAAAATAATACAAAGTTGACCTAATCCGATATAAAAATCCTTAATTATAACAAGACATTTTTAGAAACTTCTGGAGGGGAAAATAAGAAAATAAGTGGTTAGACACAGGAAATGCTGATAATTCTTATTGCGAAAATAGGTTTGGCGTAATGATAAGGATGGTGGTTGATGGAAGTAAATGAGAAAAGAGAATGGAAAGAATTTCACCTCAATTTATGTTCGTGATACTGGGAATGTATTCCAAAAAGAATACGTGTCTGTGTTGAGGTTTGAGGTGTTAATAGTGAAGCCGTAAACGATGTAAACGTGGTAATGTCCGTCGATTGCGTGAAGAAGAATGTCTTGAGAGAAGAAACAAAAGAAAAGAAAAGAAACGGATGGAGTGCAGACTCACAAATATCGAGCAAGACTTGCAACACGTCTATTTTTCCACGCAGACGTCAGGCTTTAAACAAAATAAAACAAAACAAAAACAAAACAGAACAAAAAAAAAAAAAAAAAAAAAAAAAAAAAAAAAAAAAAAAAAGAATCGGGAAGGACAGAGGCGTGAATGTTAAAATAAAAGAAAAATGAATTTGAATTTGCGAAATTTTATTAAATCAGTTTTAAGTATGAGCACATATAACTGAAAACAATCGTTTGAAGACGCGTATTTTTTTCCAAAGAATCTCATGCTATACAAATAGGCGTAAAATTTGAAACTATCCACCAATCAAACTGCAGAATTTAACTCTCATTTTCTATCCTTCCTATCCTTTCTATCCCTCTCTCTCCCTCTCTCTCCCTCTCTCAAAAGACGAATTTAAATCCGCTGAAAAATCGTTTCCCAAGACGCAAATGACTTTCGTACGAAGAAAAAAATGGAAGAAGTGAATAAAGACCAAAGAACGAATGAAACACCAAAAATAGAATGAAGTGATTAGTTCCAAAAAATTTTTTCACTAATGAATTTGTTCAAGAAATCAAGAAGTGTTTTATCAATATTATAAAAGATTTTTCTTTTTCGAATTCGTTGATATTACCTCAAAAATTCTGGGATTTTCCATTTGAAAACGTTTAAATGTTAAAATCTTGACCAGTTATTTTGGTTGATGATTTGTTTTGTTACTACTCCTTATTGAAACACACTTTACCTATCACAAACAATCAGAACCCACAATACTGGCTCTAGTATTTGACGGAAACAATCAGTTGTTCCTCTGAGAGCCGTAGATTTCGAAAACATCTAGAAGAATTTATCAACTCTGATCACTCGCCGCTTCTGCTGGTTCTTGACTCCTGAAGAAGAAAAAAGCAGAAGGCAATCGTTATCAAGAGGGAGGTATCGATAATGACTAGTGGGTAGTAGTTGAGACTGCGTTGATGTTTTGAATACAACAAGTGAATGAGAAAGAAACTCAAACACCGTGTAAAAATGTTTGTAACTGTCTGGTTCTCACTAACGACGCAAGCAGACGGGAGGGAGAGAGGAAGGGAGAAAGAGAAGGAGGGAGGGAGAGATACAGTCAATGTCATTAACGTTGTCCACCGAAAAAAGACATTCACGCATTTAGAAATTTAGACTAAAAGAAATATCACGTGTTTCCTCGAACGTTCTGGCATAAAACAAACGCTGAAATACCATTCTCCATCTTAAATCCTCACTAAATGGTCGGGGCATTCTGGATTTTCGATTCACGAGTTGAATTTTACATTTAAAGTTCAGGCTCACTTTAGTCTAAATGTCTAAATGTGTAAATGTGTAAATGTCTTTTTTCGATGGACAACATTAATGACACTGACTGAATGTAGATGGATATGATAAATGTATGAATGAATGGATAACCCCAGTCATGTTGCGCAATGACGTTAAAATAATCCATGATTATCATTTCCCCCCCCATTGATTTAACCTAGCAGTTGCTCATATATCAGGTATCCATTATCCTATGTGCCCTTTGCTTTTCTCTTTTCGTTTTGCTTATTTTTAATGTCGTACTATTTGCTTTGATCTTGTTTGGTTTTGTACCGACACTAGGTTTTCAAGGGCCTTCAACCTACTTTGTTGGAGATGGAGTAGGGTGATCTTGTTTCAAGCCACTGATGAGTCCCATCAAACGAGAAATATCTTCAGCATCTGCGGCTGATACCTGGAGAAATGCAATGAAATGTTAGTATTAGAAACTCACAATAGACGACTTGGACTAAGAGGTCACGTGATCAAATCCGCCATTGTGGCTGGCATTTTACAGGATTTTCGCTATGCGCGGATGTAAAAAAAGATGGCGGATTCCGGTAGTTCTTTTGGTGATAAAAGGTAAGTTAGCGCACTAAATAATGATAAAAATTCCCTTTTCTTGCAAGAAATATATTCTTAGTAGATATTTAAAGTGGATTTTTTGCTATTAACTCGCCAAGAAGAGAATAAAATATGGTATTTTTTGCGATGGGATGTGAAGACCTACAAAATGTTTAGTCTTGTTGTGCCGGCTATTTTTTCTCTTCTTGGCTAGTTGATAGCAAAACTCTACTTTAGATATCTACTAAGAATATAATTCTTACAAGAAAATGGGATTTTTATCGTTATTTATTGCGCTAACTTACCTTTTATCACCAAAAAATTACCCGAATCCGCCATCTTTTTTTTACATTCTCGCATAGCGAAAATCCTGTAGAATGCCAGCCACAATGGCGGATTTGATCACGTGACCTCTTAGTGCAAGTCAGTAGTATAGGGAATGGGGGTTCCAGCGCAATCTCAACACGGGCAAGATCCGTATCAAAAATCCACCTACGGACGACCCCCACTCCAAGTGTGGTTGAGGGCAACAGCGCACTTAAATAT